AAAAAAAAAATTGCTCGAATTTTGCACTATGTGCACCTTATATAGATACAAAAAAATCTTCATCATCATATCAATCAACAAGCTATACTAAAATTAAAGGAAAAAATCCAGATTTAACTCTATATTCAAGTATAGAAATACTTCAGTGTCTCTCATAATATTCTTCTTCTTCTTCCCATAGATGATAAAACATTTATTAAATCAGCACGAACCAATTCTAACGAAAGATCAGTTTATGATACAAGTAATTATTTAAAAAAAAGATATTGTTAAAATCGATTAATCTATTTAAAACCTTCACCAAATAATTATCCAATGTCAACTTATCGTTCTGAATCATTTACACCAAATGTTATTCCATCTGGATATGTTTTTGAAGATTTTCAAAATGAAATTCATTTTGAAATATTTGAATATCTTGATATCTATTGTATTTATAAAACATTTTATAATATTAACAAAAAATTTCAACATTTGCTTTTTAACTTAAACGTTCCACTAAAAATCGATACTACAATTACAATATCAAAATCCAATTTTCAACATTTTTATAATGATATGATTATATCTAATACAAATCGTATTACTAGGTGTGGGTGTGGGATAAGGATGTACGTGTGGCTGTGGATGTGGATGTGGATGTGGATGTGGGTGCGTGTGGGTGTGGCTCTGGATGTGTGAGTGGGGGCGTTTCTCTTCTTCACGCCCACAAACCCACACGCACACCCAATGTCTTGTTCATGACGTAAATTCATTCGAAGTAATTTATATGCACATTCTTCAAAAGTAATGTTTGTCTGAATTGGTGAATATATTTTTTGACGTAATGCTGCTAAATTTGTTTCTTGTTGTTTTTCTTCTAAAAGTAACATTTTAATTTAATCTTACAAATGACTGATTTGACTTACTTTCTTCTTCATTAAAATTATCTTTTTTTCGATCACCTTCATCATCCGTAACGAATGAACTTGATTGGTTTTCATTAAGAATTCTTTCTCGAATAACATTATATTGTTCGTCATTTTCTTCATATTTTGAATCATATTGAAATGTATCTAAAGAAAAAGAAAAAGGATAAACAAAATATTTTATTGAATATAAATCATATCAAGTATTGGTTCAGGTTTATATGGACCATCTAATGTAAGGATATATGTATATTGATAATTTTCATCAACTAAATTATGACCAGTCGGAATAGCTGGATTTTCTTTCAATTGATCTTCTCCTTTCCTTTCCTTTCCGAAAACATATATGTAAAACTTGAAACTTGAATTCAATTCAAGTTTCAACTTTCAACTTTCAAGTTTCAAGTTTCCACTTTCAATGAAAATATAAACATTTTGGAAATATTGATTCACTAGTGCAGATAATCTTTATATAGTGATTGACTTTGAATGCTGATCCATTCAGATATATATTCATTCAACTTATCAACCCTTGCTAGACAAAATTCAAAAAATAAATAACTGTCTACTATGTCTCCTACATGTCTGGAAAGGACTGATCGCGACAGGACTGATGGAGAAATGAGTGGCCACACTACGACATACATCACGTCGCAGCTGCTGTGGGTGCCGCGAAAGGGTGGGTCACACTACGACATACATCACGTCGCAGCTGCTGTGGGTGCCGCGAAAGGACTGACCACGCTACGACATACATCACGTCGCAGCTGATGTGGGTGCCGCGAAAATACTGGCCACGCTACGACACACATCACATCGCAGCTGCTTTGGGTGCCGCGAAAGGACTGGCCACTCATTTCTCCATCAGTCCCGTCGTGATCAGTCCTTTTGCAGCCAGTCCTTTCCAGACATGTAGGAGACATAGTAAACAGTTATTTATTTTTTGAATTTTGTCTAGCAAGGGTTGATAAGTTGAATGAATATATATCTGAATGGATCAGCATTCAAAGTCAATCACTATATAAAGATTATCTGCACTAGTGAATCAATATCTCCAAAATGTTTATATTTTCATTGAAAGTGGAAACTTGAAACTTGAAAACTCAATTGAATTCAAGTTTCAAGTTTGACACTACTGGATAATCCACCTGGCCTCTACGTTCTAGAGTCTGGCAAATCATTTGAAAATTGGTCTGCACGCATTTTCGATCATCTACAGATATTGATACATTTATTCTTTTCATCTGTTTAACGTCATGACGGGTTCCTGGATTCCCCAGGACGAGAAGCCGGTCGGATTCCGCATTTTCAGATAAGGGAATCCGAGTTAAGTTTCGCATTCCCCGTTCCCAGGTACGGAAATGCGGTATGGGTTCCACGTTCCCGGGTACGGAAATCCGGGGTGGGTTCCCGTACCTCGGAACGGAACCCGAAACTGACACCCCTACTAAGGGTACCCCTATAATATACCACTTGAATAATTAAGGGCACTCCTATAGTGTAGCAGTTGAGGACCCAAGGGTACCTCTATAGTATAGCGCTTGAGGATCCAAGAGTACCCTTCTATTATGGCAATTGAGGACCTAAGGGTACCCTTATAGTATGGCAATTGAGGATCCAAGGGCACCCCTATAGTATAGCACTTCTGGACCCAAGGGTGCCCCTAGGGTATAGCACTGGAGGACCTAAAGGTGCCCCTATAGTATGGCAATTGAGAACCTAAGGGTACCCTTATAGTATAGCACTTGAGAACCCAAGGGTGCCCCTATAGTATAGCACTTGAGGACCCAAGGGTACCCCTCTAATATGACAATTGAGGACCCAAGGGTATCCTTATAGTATGGCAATTGAGGACCTAAGGGTACCCTTATAGTATAGCAGTTGAGGACCCAAAGGTACCCCTATAGTATAGCATTTGAGGACCTAATGGTACCTTTATAGTATGGCAATTGAGGACCCAAGGGTACCCCTATAGTATAGGATTTGAGGACCTAATGGTACCTTTATAGTATGGCAATTGAGGACCCAAGGGTACCCCTATAGTATAGCATTTGAGGACCCAAGGGTACCCTTACAGTATGGCAATTGAGGACCTAAGGGTACCATTATAGTATAGCAGTTGAGGACTCAAGGGCACCCCTGTAGTACAGCACTTGAGGACCTGAGGGTATCCCTATAGTATAGCATGACACAAACACTTTAACTTTAATAAAAAAGTTAAAGTTAAAGTGCTAAAATTTTTACTTTAATTAAAGTTAAAAGTTTTAAAATTTTTCACTTTAATTAAAGCTTAAAGTTTAAAGTGTTTTTAAAGTTAAAGTGTCACCCCTAATCCCAACAGCTAATTCCGAGGAATGCCTCAGTTGGGGTTTTGATTGGTCGATTGTGGGAGAATCCGAGCATCAAATCGAGCTCAAAAGGTGACCATTCGATAGAGCTGATCAAGTTCTATCTTGGTCTACCATTTCCAACACTTGGTCTAACCTATAGGTGAATTGTGACAGCAAGCACGAAGGAATACCTCAGTTGGTGTCTTGATTAGCCGGTTGCGGGGAACCAGAGCATCGCATCGAGCTCAAAAGATGATCATTTGATAGAGCTCGTCAAGTTCTATCTGGGTCTACCATTTTTACCAGTTGGTCTAACCCATGGGCGAATCGCGACGGCTAGTACATAGAATTGCGCCATTTGGAGGCCTGATTGGCTAGTTTGGGGAAAAGGGAAGGGAGAGTTGAGAGACCCAAGCATCGAATCGTGCTCAAAAGGTATCAACTCGATAGAGCGCATGAAGTTCTATCTTTCTCTTTTATTTCAACACTTAGCCTAATCTGTGGGTGAATCGCGACGGATTTTCTGAAAGAATGTTGCTTTTTCATCTGTTTTT